CGATTTTTTTTTTTTTTTTTGGTCTTTGTGAGACGGGGTCCCCTTGCAGCCCTAGCTGGCATGGAACTCACTATATAGACCAGGCAGGCCTTGAACTCACAGAGATCTGCCTGCCTCTGCCTCCCAAGTGCTGGGACTACAGGCGTGCGCCACCATGCCCATAGACAACCACTGATTTTATCTCAGTCAATATCATATTACATGATAGAGGAAAGAAAACTCAAATATCTGCTCAATGTATGTATATATATGTGCAAACATATTCTTAACAAAACAGGACAGAACATGCCAATGACAAGTCTCTCTTCTGCAACTGATCATGTGGCCTTATCTAGTATTTATAATTGTCTTTCTCTATTATCCATTCAGTATTTCTTCTACCTTCAGCAAGTCATCATCCAACTGGGCCTGTCAATCACCTGACCAGGAGAGCATGCCTCACAAGAAAGCTGATTCTCCTGAAGACCTGCTAAAGAGATGGGAAGAACAATTACCCCCTAAATGAGATAATGAGATATGCTCAGAGGTCCCACCTCCCAAGCAGTTTCTTACAGATCTTCATTTTAGCAATGAAGATTATCTTTTAGCAATGAATTTTAGCCTGCTAACTTTTATGAGTTCTGATTCAAAAAGTGTAACTTTTCCCTTCTCTTTTTCTATCTCTTTACTGGCCAAAATTCAAAGCACGCTTTCCCAGATTTTCTGGACATTCTTGCTCTTTGAAGAACAGCCTCACCCATTCCATATCCTGTGCAGCTGATCACCTTCCTCCAGCTCCCTCCCCACCACTAGGTGCTTTCCTGCCCTGTTGCTTTCTCTCAAACTCTACTCAAATGGCCCTCAAGTTTCCTTGAGTCCATTTTTAAATTGTTTTATCAACAAGACTAAGAACCCACAAAAGGGAGCCCTGGTTCCCTGGTAACTAGACCAAGTCTGGAGAGACAGAGATGCCCGTCTGAGATGGAAACTCACTAAGAAAGACAGGAACAGCTCAGTTGCTCCTCCTCATACAGCCTCATTCCCCGGGGAGCCACCCACATTTCCATCTTCCAGGTCTAAATGTCCTGACGAGTTTGAGGGAGGGAGTAACTACTCGAAGCCTGAATGTCTAACCTCTCCACTACTTCTGAGACTAATTAGAACTTACTGGAAAATGTTTACCGAGCTCCAAACAGGGTGTTCACAAAAGACACTGTGATTGTTCTATCTGGGCTCTAAAGAAACTTCAATAAAAGGAATTCCTGTAAATGGTGAACCTGAGAACCAATTTAACCAACTCCACAATCATTGATATGCTCATGTATTACCCAGAATCACTTAGAAATCCAGATTGCGATCAAATAGAGCAAGGTTTTGCCTTAGAATAGGTATTTGAAACAAAGTACAGAGATACAGAACACAAGGTTCAGAACACAAGCTGTCTTTTACAACTGAATGTAATTTGAAATACAAAACTGAAGAAAGTTGACCTGAGGTGATGAGGGCAAGTCATGACACCTGTGCAACATGCTACAAGTAGACAAACTTGGGTAACAATTAACTATAACAAGCCGGGTGTGGTGGCCCATGCCTGTAGTCCCAGCAGTTGGGAAGTAGAGGCAGGTCAATCTGTCTGTGAGTTCAAGGCTGGCCTGGTCTACATAGTGAATTCCAGGCCAGCTGGGGCTACAGGGAAACCCTATCTGACAAAGAAGAAGAGGAAGAAAAAAACTATAACAAGCATATGTAGTGTTTATTATGTAGACCAAGCCTGGTCTTCAAACTCAAGGCTTCAAACTCACAGTGATCTGCCTGCCTCTGCCTCCTAAGTGCCTGAACTAAAGGCATGTGCCACCACACCTGCTTCTATTATTGGTTTTTAAAACTTTTTCAATTTAATTTTGTGCACGTGTGTATGAGTGCCTGCAGAGGCTGGAAGAGGGTATTGGTTCCCCTGGAACTGGAGTTTCAGGTTGCTGTGAGCCACCCAATGTGGGTGCTGGGAACTGAATTCAGGTCCTCTGAAAGAGTAGGGGTTCTTAACCCCTGAGCCATCTCTCCAGCCCCCAATGTTTATTACTGTATAATTGTCAAAATTAGCAAAGTTAATAGACTATTTCCTATTGTGATTTCCAATAGGAAAATTCTCCACAGTAAACATATCATGAAAGGCAAAATTGGTAACAGTGAATATTTGGAAACAGTGTTTGACTTTTTAAAAAAAGCAAAAGCAGCAGGCGTGGTGGCCCACACCTTTAATCCCAGCACTCAGGAGGTAGAGGCAGGCAGATCTCTGTGAGTTCAAGGTCAGTCTGGTCTACATAGTGAGTTCCAGGCCAGCTGGAACTCCTTGTAGCCCCAGCTGGCCTCGAACTCACAAAGATCTGCCTGCCTCTGCCTCCTGAGTGCTGGGATTAAAGGCGTGTGCCACCACGCCCGGCTAAATTTAGTTTTTAAAAATTTTTTAAATTATTTTTATTTTAAGTGTATGAGTTTATTGCCTGCATGTATGTGAGTGCACCTGTGTCGTGCAATGCCAAGGAGGTCAGAGGAGGGCATCGAATTCCCCTGGAACTGGAGTTAAGGTTGTTACCCATTATGTGGGTGCTCGGAATCAAATCCCGGTCCTCTGCAAGAGCAGTCAGTGCTCTTTACCGCTGAGCCATCTCTCCAGCACCTTAAATTTAGTTTCTAAGAGTGGACCTGAACTCAGAAGACACTTGTTTCCCTAGATACCTCTTGGAACTGTCTCCTGGAAATATGTGGCTGGAACTGTCTCTGTGGAACTGTGTCCTTGAGTCAATGATTTTTGTTCAAAATGGTTTCTCCAGCTTCAGTTGGGAAAATCACAAGTTTGGCTCCACCCTTATCCTAACAGACCATCCTCTCTTTTCATCCCCAGTTCTAGAATATCTCATTCACTCAAGGTCACTTGTCCTTCCCAATCTTCTCTGTGTGTAGTGAAGATGGGTGCACTGCCTTTCAGCCTTTCAGTAATTAATTACTACATTAATTCTCAAGTACCCACATTCATGCATTCATTATCTATGGTTGGGGCACCAAATTGAGGTTCTCAGGAAACAAGATGAAGTACCCAGGTCACAAGACATAAGAGCACATGGTTTTGCTGGGGTTAATTAAAAGTCCAGATTACATCCATTTTATAAATCATTCCTACACTATCTCAAGCAAACAAACAAAACAGAACAGACAAAACAACAAAAGAAAGGAAAACAAAATCTGTTTCTGTTGTTTTGCTATCCAAGACAGGGAAGGACTCAGTACCAAAAATTTATGAGTCAAGCTTTTGTGTCACTGTTACCAAATAGCTAAGAGAAGAGAGGAGAGATTTATGTTGTTACTATTCCCCCAGGATCAGTCGTCTTGGCACAGGAGGCCTGGTGGAGAAGAGCAGTTCACACCAAGGCTTTGAGAAAGCAGAGAAAGCGCAACTTATGTAATGGCAAAAAGAAAGCAGAACAGAGTACTACTACCTCATGGGCCTGGGGCAAGATACAGTTCCCAAAGACACCCCTCGGATGACCTACTCTCTACCCTCTGGCCCCACATGCCAGTGGTCTATCAAAATGCTCCACTCCATCAATAGATTAGACAATTAGAATAAAGACAACCTGATTTAATTGTGTCTTTGGAAATGTCCTCCCAGACACACCCAGATGGGTGTTTATTTAACAAGGTGTTTCCTAATCCAATCAAGTTTATCAGCAAGATTAGTCATCATACTTACTTTCAAGGTCAAAGGATTCCTCATGGTTTTAGCCTTCTAGATGTCTCTGATTTTCCTTTATTAATGCTTTCTCAGTTTAAAGGACTCTGGGGTCTGGGATCATCCAAGGTTTATTTCAGGTTCTACTGTTCTTTCTATTTGAGCCCAAAATCTTACAGGAAGTAAACCTGTCTCTATGCTTAATGGGGCAATTCCTGGCCTCAATGCATGATTGGGTCTAAGGACCTAATAGTTTATATTATACAGGGGTTGAGGTGGAAGGTGGCCAGTCAGTGTGCATCAAAGAATCATGTCAGCACAAAGATTTTGAGATTAAAAGATTTTTTTTTTACAACAGGATGGACAAATGGCCCATTAAGTGTCTGGAAATAGATGAGGAAAATGATCCCAGAAAACCAAGAACACAGATGGCAGATCTGACTAAACTCTGTGGAACACAGTGAGGCTCCCAGACCAACGACAAGAGTGGAGTTGAGGAGACATTCTCCTCTTTACTAGAGTTTTCTGGGTTTTTTTGGGGGGCAGTGTCTTGTGTAGCCCTGGTTGGCCTCAAACTTGTGATTTTCCTGCCTCTGCCACTTTTCTGATTGTTTTTTGCTGCCTTCTCAGTGTTTGGTTACATTATTGTTGTTGCTAACTTAATGTAATCACATTTCATTTAATCATCTCCATTGTTAGGAGATAGGAACAGGTGTATGTGAAATTTGTATTCTCCCAGGTGTTTTCATTTTTATCACATTTATATCTATCAAATATACCCAACTGAAAATGTATATCTGAAGGAAACAACTAAGTTACAGATGTCATTGCTAAGCACCTGAAAAATTTCAAAACCTATGTCTATAATTTTGGTATGTACAAAGTGTTTGTTTTTATCTATAATTTCTTCATGTGCAAAATATTGATATACTTATCAATTTAATGTTGATTTAACATTGTATCTTAGAAATCTGGGCAGTGACTTAAATATTTCTAGGTGGAAACTGGTCCAGGAATTATGTGTGAACGAGTCCCTTGCCTTTCTGTCTCTTTGCGCCTGGCTTTGTTATACATTTTGAGGTATCATGTAAAGGTACCATTGCATCTGGGACTCAAGGACAGCATATAGATACATTCTTTAGCCCACACCTGATGAGTGGCTGGAAGTGGGAAGGGCTTCAGCCAATGAGAGAGAGCCACGCCCATCAGAGGGACTAGAAAAGGGATCTGCAGAAGGCTAACCCATGCTCATTCTGCTCAGCAAAGAAGGAAAGGCTCTCCCTTTAACCAGAGCATGGAATTAGGAAGTGACCACCCAGACCCTTACTGCCCACCCCTGCATGGCCATCCTACTAAACAGATGACCTTCAAAAGGAGAAGATCAGATGAGGAGAAAGAGTTGGAAGAAAAAGACAAGGAACTCTCTTCCCCTTCCAGTGAGACCAGGGAACAAGGCAAATGTGGAGCTTAGGGTACTTCATGTAGGGCAGGAAAGACGGGTGGAATTACAGGTGCAGAGTTGTGTGGCTTGGGTAGAGTGTTCTCTGAGAATAGGGGTGTAAAACGGCTTTGAGAAGGTGGCAACGGTCACCTGGCAGCAGATTAGAACAATGTTCTTAAATTGGGTAAAAAGTCTTAGTTCACAGAATGACTTAGAAATATGGTGGGTTTGTCAGTGACAGAGTGGGGGTCTAGAAGACTAAGGACCCTCCAGTTATTGAATCTCCCATTTCCTTTAGGATCAGAGCTTAGTCAAAATGAGGAGAATCCCAGTGAAATGGAATCCAGTTCCAGAAACCAACCAGGTAGGTTTTGACTCTTCTGAAGGGAGAAGTTACACATGATGCTAGTTTTCCATAGCCATGGCTCCAAGAGCTCTCTAGCTTCCAGGGCCCTAAAGTTCTTGGCTCTGGACAGCTGATGGGAACCAACTTTTTTGGTATATCCTCAGCATCCTGTGTGTCCATAATGAACTGGGGGTTTGTGTGTGTCCAACTGGTGGTGTTCATTGAAGCTCTTATTTTATCCATAGAATCAAATTTCAGCTCAGATGGTGGAAAAACCAGGGAGAGAAAAAGCTGTTCCCAGGAGACGAGTCAAGTCAGACTTGGTGAGCTCTTACTGTTTGCCAAATGGGTTAATGTAGCATCCACCTTACCCAAGGCTTGGGCAAGAAGGGTTCCAAGGACCTTAATGTGTTCAAAGGACCCTGGAGTTCTTAGAGCGTCTGGGATGTAGAGTGAGTTCAGCTTTGCTTCATTGTGGAGGCTGAGGTGGATGGGAAGGAGGAAATATACAGATGCCTGAGGCTCTGAAGGGGCTTGATGAGATTCTGGAACTAGAGTCTCTGGGAACTTTTCTGGTCAGTCTCTTACCAACACAATTTTCCATAGAAAATGATTGCATCTCCCACTTGAAAAAGCGAAGAAAGAGCTCTGGACGGAGGAGAATGGATCAGAAGCCTGACAGCTGCCAAAGTGGGTTAGCAGTGGGCATAGCACACAGCCCAGAACCTCAGCACACAGCCCCACCACCACTTCGTCAGAACCTGGTTGCCTCTCTTCGTACTATGTCTGAGGCAATTTATGAAGACATAGCCCAGGTTCATGCACAGCAGGCTCATTCTCTGCTCACCTGGGAACAGTTCTCTGTGCTCACACAGCTCCGGGGACCTCTGAGCACCATGGTGCAGACCTTCTACAGCATGGCCACCCAGGCAGCCTTTGTCCTGCCTGCTGAGGGATGGCTTGTCCCAAGATACATGTCAGCTTCCCAGGCCCTGTCTAGGAATGAATCTCAGAGTTCCTCGTCAGAGGACGTCAAGGAGATCATAGATCCTGCCACCAAATTGGACTAGTCCTGAACCAGGACCATGTGACTCTCATAATCATAGATGGCACTTCTGGGACAACAAAAGCCAGCTACATCTCAGGGTCTTCCACAGAAGCTGTATGATTTTCTGTACACTGTTTAAATCAATAACCGAACAGTGTTCACAGGAGAGGAATTTGAAATATTTACTCACATCATGAACTGTGTTTCTCCAAGGAACAGGATTAAAATGTTACATCTAAAGTAGAAATGTGTTGTCTTTGGGTGTCTTGTTGAAGATATATATTTATGATTAGGAACTTCAGGAATGAGACTTATGTATCTGTCTTTTAAAGTACGGCAAATAAATATTTCTTTCATTAGAAAATGCTGTAGCTTTTCATTTTTCCCATCCCAACACAAGGAGGGCAGGTGTCTATAAATCTTTAATTACATCTCTTGTTGAGAAATGCTTGTATTTTTTTCCTGTTTGTTGAAATAACCAGAAATAGCAAATATGGATAATGTATATCAAAAGAACCTATGGCCCGAGGCACACAGATAGTCAGAGGGATGGAAGGTAGGAGGGGCAGACAAAGGTTTCTATCAATATTTCCATAGCTTCACATTACCTTCACACCAGAAGGATCACAGCAGGCAAGACCAGAGACAGCCTCTAAGATGCAGAAGTAAATCAAGAGAGAGGGCTGGAAACAGAGCTGGCTAATTCGGGGGGAAGGGAAGAAGCTGGCTTTGCATACTGGAAGGCATTGGATTGGACTGGACTACCCAGGGCCACAGTAGTAGGTCATGGGTACGCCTGGCCCATTCCACATGGGATCTGGTGTCTTTTGCCTGTAGTGAATGGATGAGGAGGATCCTCCTGAATAGCCTCTGAAGTTGGTTCCATTGTAGGGTTCCATTGGGTCCTTGGGTTTGTGACTCTGCAGCACCTGCAGGCTGGCCCATGGTAAGGTCTTGTTGTTGGTGCCTGCCCTATTCAGACCAGCCTTTTCTCTGCAGTTGTGGCCCTTAATGGCTCAGGGTAGGTCAGCAGGAGTGGTGCCTGGGTCCATGTCTGGTCTCCTTGAGAAGCATAGGACACCTGAAATCTTTGGGTGTGTAGGATCTGACACATAGGACCCAGGTCACAGGAATGGTATATCCATGTGTGGGGAACCAGTGTAGTGCTGACCTGAATGAGAAGTGGCTGATTTGGGGGACTGGACAGCATTGGACTGTACTGTGTAAGGAACAAGCCTGGCCTTTCTAGTAGGGTGGAAAGGTAAAAGCTTAATAGAGCACAGGCCTGGCTCCTTCCACTCTGGTGCTCTATGGGAGGCCACATTTCCCAGGATGTGGGAGGATGGATGTCCTAGGTCAGGTTATACAACATATCACAGGTTCTTCCCCAACAGGCCTAGGATCTGACACATGCCCTGGTCCAGCTTTTCCTGTAGCTGTCCTGGCATGCCACTGCCTAGGTGTGTGGATGGTCCTAGTCCCTGTGTTCACCACCATCATTGCAAGTCAGTCAAAGACATGGTCAGCAGAATCCCAGCATCCATCCATAGATATACATTGTGTGGAACTCACAATTCTCATTGCCCACCCTAATTCTGTCAGCTTCTAATCAGCTCTGTGGGCCTATCTGATTTAAATATTCAGTTGAGCACCCAAGGCTGGGAGAGGTAAATCAATCAAGGCTTGTTAGCAGCAAGTATAAGGCAAGATAATAACTAGCCTTGGCCTGCAGTGCTACTTGGGTAGGATCCTGAGCATGAGATTGGAAAGGACAACAGTGACCCCCTCTTAGTTTCTCTAAACTGCACTGTGTTCCTGATTGTAGGTATCTTGTCTCCTCAAACCCAGGTACACGCTTCCCCTTCTGGATCCTCAGGAATTGCTCCCTCTCAGGTCTCTCCTTCTAATATGTACCTTTCTTGGGAGCCTGAAGTACTGGTGACCTTAAAGGGCTCTGTCTGTCCTGATAAGGGTTAGGGTTTCCCAGGGACCTGTCTGTTTACACTGGATGACAGGGACCCATTTTACACAGCATAAAACTGAGGCCTAATGGAGTTGTTAACCATGTCCTTGTGGCAGGAACCCCCCAGCACAAAGAAAAAGCAGCGTAGTGTGGTCTGTTCTTGAGTGCACAAACACAGTTCTGCCTGTCACGACCTTGTAGCACAGGGCACCAAATCAGGACACATGTGTTACCTTATACAGGAGACAAAGAACCCAAACAGTAAAGGGGAGATAACAGAGGATCTTTCTTTCTTCTGGGTTCTATTTTTTTGAGTATGAACCCACAGAGCAGGTGCTAGCCCGAATAAACTGCTTTTTAGAGCAAAGAAAGCCTTGGTTTTTATCTTTTTGTTCAGTGTCTGAAAATAACTTGGGGGCTCATCTAGGATTTAAAGACATTTTTTGCTTCCCTTGTCACTGGGCCATGAAGGGATAACCCTCCTGGGGTAAAGATTCCAGGAGTACAAAGTACCCTGGAGGCCCAGGAACTAGTTCAGGGAACACCACCATGTCAGACTGGTAAGAACATGGGTTCCGGGGCTGGAGAGATGGCTCAGTGGTTAAGAACACTGGTTGTTCTTGCAGAAGACCTGGGTTCGAATCCTAGCACCCATATGGCAGCTAACAACTGTCCATAACTCCAGTCCCAGGGGATCCAACAGCCTCTTCTGACTTCCACAGGCATTGCATGACACGGGTGCACTTACCTACATGCAGGCAATACACGTATACACATAAAAAATTAAAAAAAAAAAAAGAACATGAGTCCCTTCACTTTTGAAAGTCTGCCCCTATAGGCAGAGGGGGAGGTTGATCATGTCACAGAGTTGGCCTAGTAGCCTCGGAGAAGGTAAAGCCTGATCTAAGGCACTGTATGAACAGAAAAAGGGAGAAATAAGGTTCTGGAAAAATAACTCCTACTTGGAGCAAAGCAATGCCCACACTAGATTTTTTCCCATGAGAGGTGGCTGGCAGCAGAAAGGGAATGAGAAACATGGGCACTCTGAGAGAATGGGGGCAGGGCAGAAGTCCAGGAGAATGGGTTATCAAGGCCTGAGGCCTGAGGAGGACTGGGGTCAGAAGCTGCACCTATACTGGGCACACAGGGGACTGGAGCACAGCAGCTGCCAATGAGACCATGGCCCAGGATCCCCAGGGAGCAAACTAATAGTAGCATGGCCAGGTCCTTCAGAGGGCTGAGCACTGGCCTTTCCCAGGAAGGTCTGCTTTTGTTTCACTGGGGCCAAAGACAGCTATTGTCTGAGGTCCAGGGGGCTGCTCTGAGTGTACTGCCTGAAAGGGATACAAGCAGAGCATGGGTCAGGATTGAAGGGTCTCTGAAGCCCAGAGCTGGGGCATCAGAAGAAGGCTGTCTTCGTTCCTGCAGTGAGCTGGCTGAGGGCCCAATGATGTCAGAGGCTGTGTACGGCAGTGGGTTTGCTGACCCCCCCCCAAAAAAAAAGCATGAGGCAGGAATGGAACCAGGGGCTCAATAATGGGGACAGTGCACTTGTTGGGGGTCTCCAGACTCAGGATAGTTCTCAGAGTGGGGGCCCCTTGCAGTATGAAGGTGTGGGTGTCAGTGATCCCTGGGATAATGCCTTCAGGGGGTCAATACTGAGCCTTCTGACTCAGAGGATTCTGACTGTTTTGTTGGAAAGGAAGGATCAGGTCCCTGGACATTTGGATATCCCCTGAGAGGTGAAGGGGATGGTCACAATGCCAGGATGTACTTGCAGCAGTGGGGGTGACAGAGACAGGGCTTTGGCCCCAGCTCCCACCTGATGATCAAAAAAAAAAAAAAAAAAAAAAAAAAAGGGAAAGAAAGGAAGAAAGAAAGAAAAAGAAAAAGAAAAAGGACTACAAGCACAGGGAGTCTCACAGAGTTGTTTCTTCCCCCTTTCTATTTTACCTGGAGCAACACATACCTTCCCTATCCTCCCTCAGCCATCTGGAAACTTTCAAGGCTTATGTCAGGCTGAGAGTCAGGCACCTTCTCCTTAGCTGTTGTGGTCAGGCTACTGTTTGGGGTGTGCTGGGGTCCCAATCTCCTTTGCATGAGATGAGACATCACTTTAGTTTACATCATTGTAAACAGCAGGACCCTAAGCAATTATGTAACTTTTGGGAAAAGTGAAAAAGTTCTACAGGTGCTTCTCACCCTGATCTGTCTCAGTTTACAGGGTTAAATAAGGTAATTGATGAAAACAGAAGATAGAATCTGGGCAGGTAGTTCAGGACAGGGACTCCAAAAACAACAGGTCCCCAAATATCCTTGGCTAGGTAACCAAAAATGCCAAAAGAAAGTGCTAGTTCCTATCTCCTCCTAAATCAACACCCCTATACATGAGAGAGCTCAGACATTAATCTGAGAGAGAGAGAGAGAGAGAGAGAGAGAGAGAGAGAGAGGCTATCTCTTGGGATAAGGAATACTAAAATTACACTTTGTAACTAACAGCTGGCCAAATGCAGCAAGAAAGTTACAAAGATTGAGGGCTGGAAGGACAGGATCCTGTTAGAGTATTGAGAGGCCCAAAATGTCTGTGTAAGAAGGGCTGGAAAAAAAGGCTAGGATAATACTGATGACCATAAATCAGGCTAATGAGGGTAGGCAAGGGTCCAGGAATTCAAGATCCAAATCATCAGAAAGAGAAACCTCAAAGGGAATAAGACAGAAGAGAGACTCCAGGCAGAAAGAAGAGAGCAAACGCTTTAATGTAGGAAGGGACATTTCAAAAGAGAATATCCTATCTTAAAAACAAAGCAAAACAAACAAACAAACAACAACAACAACAGAGTAAGGAGCTGGAAAGTTGGCTCACCAGTTAATAGCACTGGTTGCTCTTGCAGAGGAACCAGGTTCAGGTCTAAGCACCCACAGGGCAATTAACAACCATCTGTAATTCCAGTTCCAGGTGATCCAATGCCCTCTTCTGGCCTCTGTGGGCATTGCATGACAAGGATGCACTTACATGAAGGCAAAACACTCACACACATAAAATTAAAATAATTAGAAGT